ATTTATCTTTTTGAATATTTAATATAGACTTTATTCTTGAGTCTCAGCTTGGTTAATATCTTTCCACTCGTCTGATTTATATTTTCGTTGCCTTTACTTGGTTTCTTTTACGTTGCTGTCGAATAGTTGATGGATACTCTAGTCCTCTTTCATGTTTTTTTTAATTCATCAACCTTTAAACAGTAAAAATATCTAGAGAGTTTTGCTAAGTCCAATAAAAGAACGTATATTATTGCATTCTACTTCTATTGGTGAATTTTACATGACATTTAAAAAAATACCGAAAATTAACTGAACCGTACCGATACCGAAGTGAAATCGACATGATTGGGATGGTTTCGAAAAGTCTAATTTTGGTTATACATAATAGAATAACCGAAAAATTGGTATGGTACAAATTTTATACAATAATCGGCCGAACCGAACCATTGACACCCCTACTTATAGGATCGGGTCATCCGCCTCTACAGGATTTATGTACCATACTCTCATGGGAGCGGGCCGTTCGCATCGGCAGTTTAATAGATGCATCTATGGTTTGTGCCGTTCGACCCTCGGCAGTGCACAGTTTAAACATTTATGTTGGATCGGGCTGTACGCCTCAGCATTCCTATAATATATCCTCATGGAATCGTGCGTAATATTTGGCAAGAAGCCAGTGTATCTGTGAACTGATTTTAATTATGACAACCTATTTGATGAGATCCACTATATCTATATATATGCTCCGATTAAGGAGGGAATTCCAAATGGAGAGCTTGAGTTCGTTGTAAAGAGGGAAATTTGTACTACGTATTTTATACTTGTTTATTTCATGTATTTACTCTGCCTCATATTTATTTACCTCTTTACTGTACATGATATTATTGGACCACTAGTAAGTGTCGATATCGATCCCTCGTCACACATATGTCTAGTGGCCTTGTGGGAGCAGAGGCGTGTTTATATGCGTGGACTTAGGTGAGCTGCATTCCGTATTACGACCCGCAACCAGTAGAGTGTAACACCCCGTAAATTCGGCTTAGGTGTGAATGTGGTAAATGAGTGGTAAGGTTATATTTTGAACATGTGAAGTCCCAACGGGATGATTGTGGGTAAAATAGTTGTTTCAAAAATCAAAATGGAAAGAGAGGTGCATAAGATTTGACAAAAATCGATGAAGTTGCAGAAGGTCTGCCTTCTATCAAGTTCTAGTGAAAATGTATAAGGAATTGGGGAAAACGCAAAGCATTAAAGTTGTAGGACTTTGAAATATCTTTCCAACGATATATTATGGAGTCCAAACGGCTCTCTGTGCAAAAAGTTATGTGTATTTTTCGGAACAGTACACGTATGCGCGAACACTCGCGCGAACAAGCCTCCAGGTGCGCGAACTCGCGCGTGGGAGGCAGTGTTACTGCCGTTGAGCTCGAACTCTCACTCGAAAAAGCCTCCAGGTGCGCGAACTCGCGCGTGGGGGGTCGTTTTAAAGCTATTACAGCCCCAAAACATAAAAACTTGCTCTAGAAAGGGGAACTCTCAAAAACCTAACTCCTTAAGGGTCCTTCCACCATCCAAGGTAAGTTATAATGGTGATTCTAAGTTAATTTCACTTTTCCAATATCTTATTAACATGGTTAAACCCTCCATATCATTAGATATTCGATTGGGACATCATTGTTGAGAGAAGGAAGCCTAGAACTCGAAAATCAAGGGTTTGAACTTTGAAAAGGTAATGTCTTCACCCTCTAATTGATTCTAGCATTGATTTAATGATTATAAATCCTAGTTCATGAGACATGAGTTGTTGGGGTTGATAGAAAAGCATGAACGATTATAGGGTTGGGGTGTTGAGTGTTGATTATTGGTTAAGAGTGTTGTTTGCCTTATGGGTGATGAAGAATAATGTTGGTGTAATCATTTGAGACCTTAGAATTTATCTAGGAACAAGAGAATGGGTTGTTGGGTGTAGAGACACCATTAATAAGGACTATGAAGCTTTATTTTTACCAAGTGTTGACAAAATGCTTAAGTGACCAAAACATGAGCATTATAGCTAATGTGGAATCCCTGTGACTTGTATTGCTATAGATTGAAGTTGAAAGGATTGACAAACGTTGTATTACGCTCAAGAGCAGGAAGTTAAGGTATGTAAGGCTAACTCTTTACGTTTGGGAATGTCTATGATTCTCCCTACGTCCCATTCATTATGATCATTACCAGTCTCCTCAGAAAGGAACTATGCCTTAGTTCCCTGATCAGTAGTAAGACTTCTATTCTCTAGATGGCATAGTCTCGTAATCATTCGATATTCTATGAGTTTCAGTTATGACAAATCAACTTGTTATGAATACTCATCTCAGCCTAATCCTATTCACTATTCCAGTATCATGTAACCCAGTATGGCTCATTATTTCAGTATCATGTATTGTAATATGATTCTCAGTTCCTGATTTTATATTCTTGAATGTTGAATACCTGTATTTAGGCCTGAGGCCGCAGTTATGTATACGTATACTTGGGCCCGAGGCCACAGTTGTGCGCGCGCACACACACACACACACACACACACACACACACACACACACACACACACACACACACACACACACACACACACACATATATATATATATATATATATATATATATATATGTTGGGCCTGAGGCCGCAGTTTAATATTCAGTTAAACAGGTTGTTCATCATTCAGAAGAGGGAGTATTCACATCCTTCTTCCTTGTTCAGTTATCAGTTTATCAGCTAGCAGTTCAGTTTAAGTTTCAGTATTTACAGTTCTTTTGTTCAGCTATTTTACATACCAGTACAATTCAAATGTACTGACGCCCCTTTTGCCCGGGGCCTGTATCTCGCGATGCAGGTAACGATTTACAGGTCGACGATTCAGCTTGCTAGGACATCTCGTATCAGCTGTTGGTGAGCCCCAGTCTTTCGGGGCCTTATCTCTCTTTTGTTATAGTCATTATAGTATTTCAGTTAATAAGGTATACCGGGGACCTTGTCCCGGTAAACAGTTGGCGTTTTCAGTATTCTTTAGAGGCTTCGTAGACTATAACCCAGTCAGTCATATATTAGCAGGCTTTCATGTGTTAGCCTTGTCGGCTACTTGTTTATACTTGCAGACCTTTCAGGATTTTTCCGCATCTATGATATTTCAATCAGACTTTTTAGCAGACTATCATGATTTACATTTACCTCTAGCTCATAGTTATACCACATGTTGATCCAGCCATACAGTTGGTTCGCTCGATCGCATGCAGTCAGGCACCGAGTGCCGTGTTACGCCCAGGCCATAGTTCGGGGCGGCGGTGTAATTTTTAGTTTTGGCTTGCCTGGCAGCGGTGTCCGGCGCCATCACGACCTTTAATGGATTTGGGCCGTGATACAATTATTGGAAGCAAGAGCTAGAACTTGACAATGCCGGAGTTTAATTGAATTTCCTAAATCGAAAAATTATATTGTACAAATATAGAGAAAATAAGAGCAATATGATTTGAAATAATAACAATGAGATAGTTATTGAAGCAAACTATTACTTGAACTCTTTAATTTTGATACTGTTAAATGGTACTCATTAAAACTTTTCATTTTAATACTGATTTTTTTTTTCTCAGTCGTACTAAATTCAAAATTAATTTTTAGATATCTATTTAATTATCTAAATTTTGAACACAAATTAGTAGATTATCAAAATCTTGCTTAATTATAAAGATATTATCTGCACAAATTCTTCTTTTGCTACAAAGGTGGATTTTCCAAATCTAATATTTCTAAATCACACTGGCTTAATTAGTTGATAATTTTACACAATTCCTCGTCTTATACAGTTTGACAGTACGACATTAGAATAGATTAGAACAAACGTTAATTTTAAGACCATATTTAGCCATACAATTAAAGAAAAATCATGCCCGAGCCCCAACCCCGCGCAAATAGGGCCTTAATTAGTAAATTTATTCATTAAGGAGTGCAAATAGGAAAAGAGTATTTGAAGAAAAAAAAGTGCAGAAAAATAACAAGTATATAAATTCCATAAAAAAAAAATGCACATTACTTTCATTCCCTTCTCTATGTAACTTAGCCAGATTTTATCATTTGTGTAGTATAAGCAAAGAAACCAAAGAAAGAGCAAAACTCAAATTCTAAATTTTTTCCCCTTAAAATCTTCATATGCTAAGAGATGGATTTTGAGAGTTTGAGTTTTGAGAAAAATGATGTTCCTGCACCTTTTTGTGGCCTTAGAATTCTCTTGGTTGATAATGATACAACTTCTTTGTTAAACTTAGCATCAGCTCTTGAAGAACATTCTTTCAAAGGTACATTCTTATCTTTAATTTCTACTCCATATCTGCATTCTTTTTACTTTTGGATGTTCTTGGTCATATATATGAAGGGAGTCTTGGCGTAACTGGTAAAGTTGTTGCCATGTAACCAGGAAGTCACGGTTTGATCCGTGGAAACAGACTCTTGCAAAAATACAGGGTAAGGCTGTGTATAATAGACCCTTGTGGTCTGGCCCTTCCGTGAACTCCGCACATAGCGAGAGCTTAGTGCACCGGGCTGCCGTTTTTTATGCTCTTGGTCATATATTCGATTATAGTAAATGAAGTGAATTTCTAAGAAGTGTAACATCATGGTATTAGAGGAAATAAAGATTTTGGGTTCGAGCCTCATTGTCACCTTCAAAAACAAATTCACATGATTGGTCAAAAAAATAATCGAGCTGCACATGGTAGGGACAGACTAACCACTGTCAAATGATGGTTAATTGGACACCCTTTGCCAGAACATTATAGTGTATATAAGTTAAAGAGTAACTTTATATCATATCTATTAAATCATAGACACCCTTGAAGCGAAATTCCTTGCATTAAAGTAAATATAACATTTTTAAAAATCGAAAATCTTTTATGTCTCAAACAAGAGTACCAAAAATAAAATCAGGTAATTTATCGGACTCGGTCACATAAATTCCTCTCCTTTTTGGTGCCCTTGTAGGCTAGTATTATGCAGGTCACATTTCAAGTTAAGTTGTTCTAGAAAATATTAGTTGTTCAGTTAGTTGACTACTTGAACTTTCACCTGAGGGTCCGATTTTTGTTTACAGTAACGACAATTGAACAAGCAACTGTAGCTCTGTCCATTCTCCGGGAAAGGATCGATCAATTCGACCTTGTAATGGTGGATGTCAACATGCCAGAAATGGACTGCTTTGAGTTCATCAACAGCACTCAACTCATCAAAGACATACCTATTATTTGTAAGACCAAATCTCTCAAATTCTCAATTAATATATGACTCTTAAGTCTTAAAAAGTGTCAATTTTTCTATTTTTGGATCCTTATTTGGATTTTGGTTCTGATTTTTCATATTTGTAGTAATGTCATCAAATGTGAAGAGGGGAATGGTGGAAGAAGCAGTGGCACAAGGGGTATGTTTCTTTTTTATGAAGCCAATTTCAACAAAGAAACTCAAGAATATATGGCAACATGTGTATAGGCACCAAAAGAAAGTAAGTCAAAATTCAGAAAACAATAAGGCTAATAATCAAGTTGAAGTAATGGACAGTACAACTTGTGCTAATAAGAAATTGCAAGACACAAAGGGAAAAAGCATAGTGAATTCTGCAGAAGAAGAGGATCATTCGTTGGTTTCGGAAAAACCTATGGACGGACAACAGAAGAAAAGGCGACGCCTACAATGGACACCAGATCTTGAAAAGAAATTCAAGAAGGCCGTTCGCAGGTTAGGACAAAAAGGTATGTTTATAAAAACTTGGTTGTTATCATAGCACAAACCAGGAAAAAAAGCCAGAATTGGTGAAAGACTGTAGAAAATGAAGTGATCTTAAGCAGGCATTTCACTAAATGTACTTTATTTTACTGTCTTGTCGATTTAGCCCGTCCTAAACTTATAATGGAGATGATGGATGTTCCAAATTTGACTCAGAAACAGATTGCGAACCATCTGCAGGTATCTGAATTTGCGTTGAAGTTTGTCATTACTAATCATCACTGCGCTATTCTTTGCATATTTTCTTAATTACTGTCATTGAACTATTTGATTTATTAAAAAAAAATATCTTTTGTGCTACACGGACCACCATAATTCTTCAATATCAGACACATCTGAAACGGTCCAAATTGAAGCGATCATGGTGGTTTAGGAGAACACAAGAATCTGCTAGCTAGTGCTTCTTCCAACTTTCTCGTAGCAAACTTTTAGAATAAGCACTTAGCAAGGTAGTTCATGTCTTGAAATTGGTAGACGAATATTCTAGTTGTGACATGAATAGTCGAGGATTAAGGTTGTGGGTTGACAGACAGTCTAGAGTTTCGTCTAGTCATCCTAGTAGTATTAGTACTAGTCTTGTATTTTGCTATTCCTAGCCCCTTGATTGACTCTATTTTTATAGTGTCGTATTGTTAGATCTCTGTTATTGCACGTATCTCCATAGGCGCATATGTCTAATTACCTTGTTGCTATTAGTATCTGTTTATTGCTTCATTTTTCAATTTTCTTGAGCAGAGGGTCTTTCGGAAACAGCCTCTCTACCGTCATAAGGTAGAGGTAAGGTCTGCGTACATTCTACCCTCCCCAGGCCCCACTTGTGGGATTTCACTGGGCTTCTTGTTGTTGTTGTTGTTGACATGAATAGTCGACGCTTTTCTTATTTCTTTCATGTTTTTGGCCCTCCTGCAGAAATACAGAGTCCAAAAACAACAAGCTCCACATGTTCAACCAGCTACTTATTCCATACTTAACCAATCTAAAATCATGTCGCAAACGCCACACCCTCTGGTTCCATTAAGTCATTCTCAATATGGAATTAATTCTGTGTCCCAGAGTTTGTCTTTCCCTTTGAACACATCAACATTGTTGCATTCTGGAACCAATATGTTTAATCACTTTCCAGACAACGGACATCGTTTCAATGTACTGAATTCAAATGAGTTCGCGGCAAACTTCAACGATCCATTTCAAGAAACATACTTACCTCAACCACCTGCACTTCCTTCTTTAGTTTCACCAAATCCAAACGATTATGTCTTGACGGAGTTGGATGGTTGGAACGATTATTTAGCTTCACCTGAAAATCTCAATGGCGAAATGATAGAAAATCAGATTGACAGTTACTACAGTTGGCTAGAGAAAGATCCTATCAGTAGCAGTTCAACTCAAGATAATGTCCCTACAAGGTCAGTTTATATATAACAAAAAGCAATGAATCCTTAGCTTATTGTTTTTTTTTTCCTGTCATTTTGTAATACTGTAGATTTTTGAACAACAGGAGTCAGAATCCTTGATATGGACAAATTGCATTTCTGGAGTAACGGGAGAAGATGTTCGATAGTTTTCATTGATCAATTGCGATTGGATTATTTAGAACTCAGACAATCTTTATCTTCTGTTTTCTGAACTTAAAACAACTGTACGAGTATGTTCCATTATGTTTTTTTAATCATAAGACTTTTTAGACAATTTCTTCTATTAATGTTATCGTAACAGTCCAACCTACTAGTGATATTGTCTGTTTTGAAAGTGTTTTTTTTAATCACTAGTGGGTTGGGTTGTTACATATGGTATCAGAGTCACTCCGCGTGCAACCTTAAAAGATCGTGGAGCAAACCTCACCGAGGTTGCTGACACATTAGGCGAATCCCACATGACAAAATACGAGAGAGATGTTGGGTATATAAGTAAACAGGCGTTAAACTCTAGTGACGCATTTTAAAGTCATGCAGGCCTAGGCCCAAATCGAACAATATCACTAGTGGGTGATGGGTTGAACTGTTACAGTTATGAAGGAAGAGTATGAAAGAATGAAGAGGAAAAGAAAAGATCAGTGCATCTATTCCTTTTCATTCCATTCTAAACAAACAAATTGCTCATTGTTAAAGAACAATATACACTTCAACAATGTTTTAGTACAGGAACTTAGTCCAGAAATGCAAACCAATGTAGCAAAAATTATCACAAGAAAAATAAGATTGGCAAGGCATAAAGCAATATAAAGTCCAATTGTTGCTACTGACGTCATAGCTTGGCAAGGCATAAGCAATACGAATTTATGATTATATCCACTTTTTTGTGTGTATTAGTACATGCTGATTTTGTAGAATTTTTTTGACGGACTCCTAGTGGCTGGAAATTTCATAGGTCCATAGAAAACGGCCTTGTAACCAATACTCATTACTTCGCCATGACTTCCGGATTCATTTTATGGCATTTCGCGGTGATGCAACAAGAATTTATGATTATATCCATTTTTTCATGTGTCAATACATGCTGATTTTCTAGAATTTTATTGACGGACTCCGATTGGCCTTAAATTTTGTAGGTCCTTAGGAAACGGCCTAGTGGCCAATACTCATTGCTTCGCCATGACTTTCTTGACCAATTTTTTTATATTTCAGGGTCATGCAATACAAATGTGTGATTATATCCAATTTTTCTTGTATATGTACATACTGATTTTGTAGTATTTTTTTTGATAGACTCGAATTGTGAATAAAAAAATTATGGAGATGGGGAATGATTAGAGGACTTTTTCCCCAAAATGTGCAATTTTGGCTGGAAAATTTCGCTAGCATGTATTTTTTTGTGAGAATTCAAAAAGTATGCAAAACGCTTATTTGGAATACGATTTATATATGCTCTAAGTTAATTGAGGTAACAGACTATGCAAGAGATGTCGTTTTCTTAAATCGCATTTTATAATGTAACTTATAAATCGCATTTCTAAAACGCAACACTGTTCATAGCGTCCTGATCAAACTACTTGCCCTTTTACATAAGAAATATCCTTTTTACAGAAGAATAGTATTTTCTTTAGAGGAGCTTAGTCTAAGAAAACAAACAATTGTAACAAAAATCATCACAATAAAAAGGAAAGACAAGGGAGAATGTCGGAATTAAATACAATATACACTTCAACAATATTTTAATACAAAAATTTCGCCCTCTTATGCTTCTTCCTTAGAACTATCGTCAATATTCTTAATAGGACCTTTACACCAATGTCTACCACTGAATATCCACGTAGAAACGACGAGAATGAGAACGCCTCCGACTGCGACAGGAGTGTAATTGAAAGTTTGATCTGTTATAGGATAGGAAACAGGCAAAGAGAAGAGCACAGAGATGAGTGCAACCTAAAATACAGATATCCAACCTATAATAGTCCTGTATCATCCCAAGGTAAATCGCCCTCGAGTGAACATTTTTCGACCTAGAGTTAACCTTAATAAGACAGGTATAGCATAAGCAACATAAAGCCCAATTGTTGCTATTGATGTCATGGCTTGAAATGCTACCAAGCTTCCAAGAGACTTCAATTCCAATGCACAAAAAAAAAAAAAAAAAAAAAAAAAAACAACAACATTCTTAGTAAGGGAGTGAATAAGAAAAACCTATATAAAAATGGGCAGTCTGGTGCACTAAGCTCCCGCTATGCGCGGGGTCCGGGGAAGGGTCGGACCACAAGGGTCTGTTGTACGTAGCCTTACCCTGCATTTCTGCAAGAGGCTGTTTCCACGGCTTGAACCCATGACCTCCTGGTCATATGGCAGCAACTTTACCAGTTACGCCAAGGCTTCCCTTCAAGAAAAACCTATATGAATCAAGAAAAGCGTATGTACCGTTAATGCCATGCAAAATGCTACAAGGGCTGACATCCAGACTGCATTTATAGGAACATCTTGTTTGTTCACTTTATGCAACTGCGACGAAAATGGCATTGCTCCATCTCTGGAGAGTGCATAAGCAATCCTGCGAAAAATGAATGCAAGCATAAAACTTTATCGACTCTAGTCAGGTGCGGAGGGACAGTATTAGATATCTGTTTAGACGAACCCGGTAACTTTTGCTTAGACTCTATATTTGTATCAAATAATTCATTAAATTTGCATAAATACTTAATTGCGAGCCAGTAACTAAGACGAGCTATAGGTTCGACTGCAAGTTCAGAACTCATAAACTTCAAATTCTGGTTCTGCCACTGGCTCTAGTACAGAATTTGAGTTAAACAACGAGAAAAAAATCCTGATCAAGCATATTTACCTTGAGTTGCTAGTTAGTGAGCTCATACCAGCAAAGAATACAGCAAGACCAGCAATACCTAAGCAAATTACAGCACCAACACCACTGCCATATCTACTCATAAATGCCTCATAATAGATTTGAGCAATGGCATGACCACCCGAATCGTTGTTTTCGCTCAAAAGATGCGAAATATCTCTAACTGCAAAGGTTATACCAACTACGTAAACCCATCCTGCAACAACTGCTATGCCAATTGCACTTACAATACCTTGTGGCCCGTTCTTATCTGCGTCTTTAGTTTCCTCCGACTGCAAAAATATTTCGTTAAATAACAAATAAGATAAAGATTCAAGAGATTCGCTTTGAAGCAGAACTCACCATATAGGCGGAAGCATCATAACCTGTCAATGTATACTGGCTCATAAGAAGTCCGAGGACAAAAATGTAGAAATAATTGTTTATACCGTCCTGATTCTCAGTGTTGAAGTTTGTAAACACAAACTCAGGACTGGCTCTTTCAGTTGCAACCACGGGAATTACAATCATGAGAAAGCAACCTGTAATCGTTAACTTAATTAGAGTCGATTGAAGGCAGATTACTGTAAATTGTAAGGTTTGAATAGAGAAAGTAGGACTTCATTATATACCGAAGAAATTGCAGGCAACGCCTATTTGTCCAAGGAAAGACAGCATTGAGATAGGAAGACTATTTAATATAGCATGTATTAGTAGAAATACGCCGTGGAGAGCCATAACGACATATTTAGAGATCATATATCCGCCTCCATTTAATCCACCAGTGCTAAGGAGAATCATCACCTGAACTAACTGTGCCAGTGAAAAATCTATACTTGTTGTGAGAGCCCACTGCAATAAGATTTTCCGTTATTGATTAGTAGTATTGTTTTATTTAGATACATTTGTGAATGTTAATATGAATAACTTTTCGCAATACCTGACCAACAATGTTGAACCTGCGAAATGAGAATGAAAGGAAATTTTAGTGAGCAGAAAGCAATATGAAGATGTAAAGCTTAAGAACATCATTTTTATCAAAATATAACTTATGACTGATGAATGTCGCAAAACATATACAAGCAGATATTTTGACCACAAGTGGGGTCTGGAAGGGTAACATGTACGCAACCTTTGACTATATATACGTACATTATGCTAGAAGTTCTGTTTTTCCTTATTTTTCGTGTATCATTCTGTCTCCGCCACTACATCGTCTGAGTATGAAATCCGCTCCTAAACAATGTAATGGCTAAGGGTCCTGACTCCTGAACTAAACTGCAACTTGCTCTCTCCACATTATGTTAAAGTCATATAACATCTTCTTTATGAACTAGACAGTTTAACATTGAGAACTCAAATGTTGAATCGCGTGGAAAGTCTTACTGCTTTTTTTTTTTGTTTAACTCTAGTGTTCAGAATACTGACCTAATTAATCCAGATTCATGCCGGGTAGGTCCCATTTAAGAGCGAAACGCTTCCCACCAGGAATTTCTCCATTCTCATGGCTCGAACCCCGTATGTCTGGTTAAAAGATTGAAGGATCTCATCCATCCCACCATATCCCTTGGTGGTTGTGGAAATAATGGCTGACAGTGGACTCATTGTGGGCCTACTCTAATACTAGCATATAACTATTTGTGTAACCAGCTTAAACTGTTAGAGATATTACACTTTTTATTTACTTATTATGTCTTCAACATCCAAAATATCAACGTACTGATTCTTACATGAACTTAGAAAGTCTAACAACTGAAAGTAATATGATTATTAAAAGGACGGCCCAATGCACTAAGCTCCCGCTATGCATGGAGCCCGTGAAAGGATCGGACCATAAGGGTCGATTGTACGCAGCCTTATTCTGCATTTCTGCAAGAGGCTGTTTCCACGGCTCGAACCTATGACCTCCTGGTCACATGGCAGCAACTCTACCAGTTACGCCAAGGCTCCCCTTACAACAGCGTAAAACTAAACAAGCAAACGAAGAAATTACCAGCCAGTGATCCAGGATGCAAAAGGACCCCAGCTTGGACCAGCAAGCTTAGCACTCCAATAATAAAGACCTCCAGAAGTAGGATAAGAAGAACAAATCTCAGCCATTGATAATCCAATTAACATAGTGAACGTACCAGCAATTGGCCATCCATAAATATATGATATAGGTCCACCAAAATTTAACCCAGTGCCCATTAGTCCGTTTAATCCGGTTAATACTGATACAATAGAGAATGATATAGCGAAGTTCGATAGCATCCTGCAATTCAATAATAACAACAACAACAATAACGTAGTAAGAATATATCAGGTATGTATGGGTCAGAATCCGACCCCACGATAATTAACGAGGTTAATCCCGTTTCAAGCTAATTCATGATTGATTAGTGGTACGACCACTCAGAATTGACGATGTTCAACCCGCATCCGGCTCGATCAACAAGGCCATGGCCTGTCCGCCACCATAAAGGCGAGATCCCAACGTGGTCACGGCCACTTATTGCCAGCTCACGAAGCCCACAGCTATAAATACTAAGAGTAGAAGCCCTAGAAAGGGGGCTGCTTCTTCTCCACTATAGACAGGAGAGAGAAGGGAAAAATATAGGAAGAGAAAACACCATTATAAGGCTCTGAACCTCTTCATGGAGAGGCAGACCAAACAAGTATTATCAATAAAAGTTTCGAATGTTTCTCCCCCTAAGTCTGAGCACTTATTTTCGTTTCTTTCATTTGGTCCAACGGATTATTACGATTTGCTATGATTTTCCCGTGATTATTTGTATTGTTTTGCACTCATAAGATATGTAATAACTTTTGAGCAAATAATTTGGCGCCGTTTGTTGGGATTTCATAGCAAAATCGTGTAGTTCTTCCATGGACCAAAAGGAAAGAAACGCCGGTTGGGAAGAACAACCCAGCAACAACAAGCCAAAGCGGCATATCAGGCCAATGGAACTCGAAGATCTCGAATCGAGGTCCGGTTCCTCTGTCCCTCATCCATCTAATGGTGCAAACAAGAAGAAGCAGCCCCCCTTCTTTTGGGGAGAATCTTCATAAGAGATCTCCCACATCCCTGATAAAGGCTCCATCCAGAAACCAGCACGGAGGAATCTCGAATCGAGAAGCGCTTCGAGACAGTCTACATACCCCGGTGGGGAAGACAACGATTAAGCTGCTCAAGATCTCGAATCAAAACCGAGCTTCAGCTCCCAAAAACCCACGAACCAAAAAAGTTCAACTACGGTTGAACCAAGACAGGCTATGCGCCTTCACCAGGAAGTTCAACTACAGTTGAACCGGGACTCCGGCTGCGTGCCTTCGCCATTAAATCCAGGCTATGCGCCTTCACCAAAAAGTTCAACTACGGTTGAACCAAGACAGGCTATGCGCCTTCACCAGAAAGTTCAACTACGGTTGAACCGGGACTCAGGCTATGCGCCTTCGCCATTATATCAAGGCTATGCGCCTTCGCCAAAAGTTCAACTACGGTTGAACCAAGACGGGCTACGCGCCTTCACCAGAAAGTTCAACTACGGTTGAACCGGAACTCAGGCTACGCGCCTTCGCCATTAAATCCAGGCTATGCGCCTTCGCCAAAAAAGTTCAACTACGGTTGAACCAAGACAGGCTATGCGCCTTCACCAGAAAGTTCAACTACGGTTGAACCAGGACTCAGGCCATGAGCCTTCGCCATTCAATCCAGGCTATGCGCCTTCACCAGAAAGTTCAACTACGGTTGAACCGGGACTCAGGCCACGAGCCTTCGCCGTCAAAATCGACTAAGTTCAACAACAGTTGAACCGGGACTCAGGCTATGCGCCTTCGCCATTATGTCAAGGCTATGCGCCTTCGCCAAAAAGTTCAACTACGGTTGAACCAAGACAGGCTACGCGCCTTCACCAGAAAGTTCAACTACGGTTGAACCGGAACTCAGGCTATGCGCCTTCACCATTAAATCCAGGCTATGCGCCTTCGCCAAAAAGTTCAACTACGGTTGAACCAAGACGGGCTACGCGCCTTCACCAACAAGTTCAACCACGGTTGAACCAAGACAGGCTATGCACCTTCACCAAAAAAAGTTCAACTACGGTTGTACCGGGACTCAGGCTATGCGCCTTCACCAAAAAGGTTCAACTACGGTTGAACCGAGACTCAGGCTACCCGCCTTCGCCAAAAAGTTCAACTACGGTTGAACCAAGACAGGCTATGCGCCTTCACCAAACAGTTCAACTGCGGTTGAACCAAGACAGGCTATGCGCCTTCGCCAACAAGTTCAACTACGGTTGAACCAAGACATGCTATGCGCCTTCACCAAAAAAGTTCAACTACGGTTGAACC